AGATCAAGGGACAACAGAAGACCCGTTGACGTCGTCTCCATAGACTTCAGCAAAACCTTAGAAAAAGCTCCTCACAAGAAGCTAGTCGTCGGTGGCACAGCGGTTAGGACTCCCGCCGACCATTCACATGACCCGTGGTTCGAACCCCTGCCGACGCACACTTGATATCAGAGGTCCGCCTGCTAAATTTGGGCTACCAATATCACATGCTGAAAATTTCATACTTGTACCAATAGTGCTGTGTGGAATCAAGCTATGATCAACATGTAAAAAATATAGAATATAAATACACTCATGAAGTTGGAAAGTATTGATATCGAAGGGAGCCTACTTAACTGGCTTAGGGAGTTCCTCATAGGTAGGAGGCAGAGGGTTAGGATCAACTCGAATCTCTCCTTCTGGACAACAGTGCACAGCGTAATGCCACAAGGTACGGTACTCGGACCTCTGCTGTTCATTTTATATATCAACTGGTTATCTCTGCTTACCGATTCCCCTATGGTCCTATAAGCAGATGACCCAAAAATCTGAAGAGAGCTGAAGGGCAACAGTGATACGCTCACGCTTCGAGAGGACCTCAGCAAATTGTCAGAGTTTTCCAGAGGTTGGATGCTGCCGATCGATGCAGCGGAATGTGCATCCATGAGCATCGGACACGCAAGCATCAGCTCCTACGAACTAGAGGGAATAACACTCCCATCTGTTGAGACTCACTTGGACTTAGGTGTCATAGATAGCCACGACTTAAAAACTACAGCACACTGTCGCGCGGTGGCTGCAGGTAGTTTCAGATCCTTATGGGCGATTCACAGAGCATTCACTAGAATCACCAGAGATATGTTCACCTCTTTATATACATCTCTGGTCAGGTCAACAATAGAAAACTGTATCCAGGCAGCCAGTCCTTGTCTTAAAGGAGACTCACATATTCTAGAAAGGATTCAAAAGAAAGGCAACACGTATGATTCTCAGCACGACTAATTTTTCATACTAGGAAGTACTAGACAGTTAAAATCTCTTCTCTCTGTCATACCGTAGACAAAGAGGAGATTTAATCACAATGTTTAAAGTTTTAAATAATGACTACGGGCCTGACCTATTCTCTTTTCCTTCCCACCATATCGGAACAATTTAGAGGACACAGTAGGAGAGTTCAAAAGCCAAGAAGAAATCATAATGTCGCTGAGTACTGGTTCTCACAGCGAGTCATAAACTCCTGAAACCGACTCCACGAAATAGTGGTGTCAGCAACCTTATTTGACTCATAAAATAAGGGTTTGCACAGGCACAGAAATTTGCCAAAAAAGGAATAACATAAGCTACAAGGCTTCTATCCTCAACCAATTAATTTGACATCTTGGCAATTTTTTCCATCAAGTAATATTGTACTTTGGTTGGCATCCCAGATGGCTCTGGGAAGTTCAGGAGCTGTCTCTATTTGTAGACTGCCTCGACCCACTCACCTTATGTCAATTAACACGCCACGTCTGTTAGCTGTTAAGTTCAGCTCCCGAGACCACTTGACTACTGCTCTCCAGAGATGGTACGAGACCAAGGACAAGGTCAGCAGACACATTCGCTGCTGCGAGAGCCGGCCTCGTACCCAAAGGAGAGAACAAAACGTTTTCATAGAACATCCCCAACCCCTAGTCACGATACGGCGGCGCAGCACGGACGATGATAGCCAGTGTCATCCAAGTGCTCCGATTGAATTAGAAGAAAAAAACGCCAACAGGCCGGTTCCCGGGGAATCGGCCAACTAGTTCGTAGGATAACTCCTCAACCGATAGCCCACATAACGTCAACCACCCCCAATACGGGGACGTCGTAAGACTGACTACCAGCTGCCTGTACAGTAATGTGAGAGGTCTAAGAGGCAAAATAGCTGAACTTAGGTACCTACAATCACAGCTGAACTCCAAAATCATAATATTAATGGAAACCTGGCTAACCCCTACGGTGGCAGACAGCGAAGTCAGTATAAGTGATATGGTCCTAGTCAGGCGAGATAGGGATCTGAAAGAAGGGGGTGGAGCCGCCATATACGTCGACAAACAGCTCAGATGTGTCGATGCAATTGACCCTCCCCTCATTGAGCTCCCTGACTCCATATGGTGCCACTTCACCGTTGGGTACTGTAAGTATCTAGTGGGCAGCATTTATAGATCACCTTCATGTGGAGCAGACCACAACCAGGTACTGCTGAATGCAATTTCAGCGACACAAGACACGGGTTATGATCAAATTGTCATAGCTGGATACTTCAATGCCCCATCTCTTAACTTGATGACGGGATATGCTCATGATAGATTTGATCGAAATCTGCTGCATACCATCAAGGAGGCAGGATTCACTGAAAATGTCAGAATGGATACTAGATGGGGCCCAGATGAGAAGTCTTCTAGACTGGATTACGTGCTCACTAGTGACCAGCTACTAGTGGAAAACGTTCAGATCACGACTCCCATAGGTAGTAGTGACCACGCGGTCATACCATTCGACATAGTCCTCCGCGAGCGTTTACAGTGGGACAATACACAGCCCTATCTGTGTTATAACAAAGCCAATTACACCGAAATGCGAAGACTTTTGTCTGAAGCAAATTGGCCAAAAAATTGGACAGAGCTTACAGTAGAAGAACACTGGGGAGTGGTAAAGGAGATCATTCACCAGGCGGTCTCAGACACTGTTCCTTTAGTCACACCTAAAGCTAGAAAGCAACGTTCATGGCAAAAAAGGGGGACACAACGCCTTCTACAGGCGAAGCGAAAAGCCTGGTTTGCGTGGCGAGTATCGAAGAGTCAACCCGAACATGAAGTGTACCTCGAACTCAGGAATCGATGTAACATACGAGTCCGGAGTGATAGAAGGAAATTTCAGAGAAACCTCGCCAATAAGCTTCTCGTAAACCCCAAAAGCCTATACAGGTTTATGTCTGAAAGAAAACCGACCAACCAGGAAGCTTGCAATATAGTGGGTTCTGATGGGAAATCTCTTACTAGTCTTGAAATGGCAGAGACATTCAGTCTAGCCTTTCACAGGCAACTGAACAGTAACGAGGATTTTCCCCCACAAAACATCAAGATTACAATGCAAGACCAACGTGCGAAAACCTGCTGGGTACATTTCAAATTACCCCGGCTATGGTACTCGTAAACTTGGGAAAGTTGGCTTCGGGAAAGTCTGCAGGTTGCGATGTCATAAGACCATCCGCCCTGAAGCAGTGTTCAGAAAGTCTCTGCCAACCCCTAAGTGATCTGTTTCAACACTCCTTTGATGTAGGGAAACTTCCATATGAATGGAAACGAGCCATCCTATCCCCTATCTTCAAGGGTGGTGACCGGCAGAATGCGACCAGTTACAGACCAGTTGCGCTACTCCCAGTGATATCGAAGATATTGGAAAGTCTCATTGACGACCACATGACAAAATACTTCGACGGGACTAACCTACTCCATGAAGCACAGCACGGTTTCAGGAGGGGAAGATCCTGTGTGACGAATCTTCTACTAGCTTGGGACGATTGGACACTATCCTGCAACGTAAAGGTACCAGTCCATGTGATCTTTCTCGACTTTGCGAAAGCATTCGACACAGTTCACCATGGTCTGCTCCTTCACAAAATAAGCAAAGCGGGTGTTTCTGGAGCACTTCTCGCATGGCTGGAAGGTTATTTAGGCGAGAGAGAATTCTGCACCAAAATCAACCGCATCCGATCATCCTGGCACCCCTCGGCATCACGGGTTCCTCAGGGTTCTATCCTATGGCCGTTGATGTTTTTGATTTTTATCAACGACATGCCCTGTCAACTGAATTGCTCTGCGCTTCTTTACGCTGACGACGTAAAGATTTGGAGAGCAATGAACTCATCGGAAGACTCCGACAGACTGCAGGCTGACCTGCAAACTCTAGGAGACTGGGCTCTGGCTAACGGAATGCCTTTCAACTTAAAGAAGTGCAAAGTAGTACAACTTCATTCCGGCAGGTCACAGAGTGCAAATTACACCCTTGGTGGCCAGAACTTGAGTTGTGTGCCATCAGAACGCGACCTAGGTCTTATTTTAACAGAAAAGCTAGACACCAGTGTAAATTACATGAGGGACGTCGCCAAAGCTTACGCAACTTTACACTTTATGCATAGGCAGCTGGGAGCTCTTACTCCCGAACTATTCTTAAGGTTGTATACGACATACGTGAGGCCACTCCTTGAGGTGCATAATATCATTGCTCCTCCGCTACTCAGAATGGATGCTAACATTCTAGAAAGTGTCCAGAGACGAGCGACAAAGTGAGTGATCGGCCTCCGCAACAAATCATATAAGGAAAGACTGAAGAAATTAAGTCTTTTCACACTTAGTTACCGTAGTCAAAGGGGAGACCTCATCACCGTCTATAAGTTCTTAAATGACCAGGCCCACCCTAATAAAAGCATCCTGCCATTAAGTGATTATAGGCTTCCACGAGGTAACCCGCTAAGGATAGCACACCAGAGACCAATAGACTCGAGTGCGTTCACATTTCTTTTCGCTTCGAGTTTACCGTCTCTGGAACGCTTTACCGGCGGCCGTAACTACAGCGTCATCTGTGGAGACTTTTAAGCGGAAGCTGGACAATCATGCAGAAACGCATGGTTTGTGTCTCAATGGCTTATCCTCTTAAAATTTGAAACCACACTGTCAATGGATTAGCATACGAGCTAAATCCCCACGACCCGTCCTGTCTTCTCCCACTGTACCGACCACTCTATCTTTCCCTTAGGTCACCTTTATTATTTCACTTATCTGAACCTATATTATCTACACTACAACCTATTATTATTACTATCCTGCTTTTATGACTACAACGAATGAACAACGGGTGTTAGGTCAAACTCCATTCACGGCAGCAGCTGAGTCCTAACATACTGCACACTACAAACCACAATCTTGACCAATCCTCGCACCACTCCTCTTGGAGTCTACCAGAGCTAAAGCAGTCGAGTGGCGGGATTTACTACGCATAAGTTCACCGAAGATCTGGAACCTCTACCTTACAATCAAGAAGCGAGCTCAAAGAAATCACTGGTTTATACTAGCTCGTAATCAGGATATCGAATTGGATATTGGACTGACCTTCAACTGTTTTGAATAATTTTCAAATTTCACCTCATGTTTGCATAAATCTGTAGTAATTCCTCAAAGAATAGGTGTATTTCTGTACAACCAGTTCAGATCACGTGAAATTATTACACCTGAAACGGCGTCATGGTTTTTCCGGATTATTCACAGTGATTCTGTAGACAAGTAAGACAAAGGTTTTTCAGTTTTTGTGTCTTCAGTAGTGTTTTCTGGTTAAAACATTGTCAGTCATATCTCCCCGAACTCTGTACGTTTTCTCATATGTTTGCTGAAGTGGAGATATAGTGCGGGGGCTATCACTGTTTAAAGCACAAGACTAAGTAATTGATTTGGGTATGCTAGCATCTTAAATAAAGGAAAATTGTCAGTAGTTTTGGGGTTTATATATGCACCATTTATCGGGAGTTTGGGGGGAAATGAAACAGTTTACCCTCTAATTCCTTGAAATTTCCTATAAAATCCCTTATGACCTATGGCGAGCAAGGCCTTCCGTCACACGGAATCACTTAGGCATTGTTCATAATAATCTCCCAGCGCATATCAGACATTTCGAAGATTTTAAGTTCAACTGAAAAAATTCTGGGCTGACATGTGCCACTCCTGAAAGTGCACCTGAAATTGTTGGTGTAAGTCCGCGGTTTTATCCAGGCTGATTCATTTGTCAAAAATGATCATTTGCAGGACGTTTTGCATAACGAACCAATTTAAAGCCTTACACTCATACGTAGTCTTTCAAAGCTCCTTTCGTCGGACATCGCTCATTTTTCAAACAAACTGACGCCTTTTGAATCCTATGTGACCTAAATAAAAATGAATTTCTTAGAAAAAAATTAGGATCATGTACATAGATTTGTAAGAGTTATACTTAGGATTTACTTCGACCTAACAATAACCGCTCTTACAAAACTTCTTCACCGTTTATGACCTTAATAGTACTCTGCCTACGTGCAAGTACTAAAGAACGGAATCAAAGTTAAAAGACTTGAAATGGCAAGTGTAACTGGACCGGAATTGTATTTACACAAAGAGATATGGAATTTGATAAGAAATAAAAAAGTACACACTTATCTGGAGGTGAGACGGTGGTCAGCTCGGAGAGTGTACTAGGTGAAAGTACAGTGAGAGAGCGAAACCAAAACCGCACAGGAGGTTCAGGAATACAAAGTGGAAGTGGAGTTAAAGGTCAGGTTGCGTTCATTCCAACAAAAGTTCAAAGGTACGATGTACAGTACAGGTTATCCCCCACTTAGAAGGTTGGTGGGATAACATCAAGCTTCGATATATAAAAGTAACAAGGTGGCGTACAATAACAGTGAATGAACAATAAAATGTGAAGATAGTAATAAAATAGTTGTTTTTCTTTTAAAAAAAATATGTTGAGAAAGGAAAGAATGAAGGAAAAAAAAATTAATGCAATTTATGAGTACTATGTACATGATCAATGGAGTAAGATAGAGTATAAGAAGGAATAACGCTGGTGCCTTGGTGCTATTTAAAAAAAATTTTTTTTACATCGTTTATGTTCACTTATCTTTTTTTTATTTTTATTTTATTTATTTATTTAGTTTTTTTACGACATACTATTACGGGCTGGGTTATGTGGAGGTCTGGTTTACCTCCGTTACCCCAGGTTTTTATAAGGGGAAGGTGACTCATTATGTCTAAGTTCCCTCTTAGACTAATGCTCCCTCCTTCCTCATCAACCAAAACTAGTAGTAACACCAAAGGCAATCAATATACCAGCGTATTAGGAGGAATAAAGTAAAAGCAACAGAAAACAATAGAAGGAGAGCTTAAGATTAAAAATCAGCATAAGGTGTTAAGAAAAACTTAAGCGGAATAAATGCTAGGAAACTAGTGTAACATGGGAGTGGTACGCCAAATTGAAACTAAACAAGGGAATTTGCTAGCGCTGTGAAAACTTATGCAAGGTACAGGGAAGTGTGTGTATAACCAATAGCTATGAATAGGTACAATCACCATTTGTTAAGAAAAAAAAATCGAGACGTGCGTATCTGGGCACGCGCCTGTGTGCCGTGTCAACGAGCTAAAGTCCACAAACACAACATCACTCCAGTGGGTTCCTTCTCCACACCCGATGCTCGCTTTAGTCACGTACATCTAGATATAGTGGGTCCTCTACCACCATCAAATGGCCACTGTTACTTGTTGACACGTGTCGACCGGTTCACTCGTTGACCAGAAGCTATTCCCATCGCTGACACGACCGCGGAAACCATTTGCCGAGTGTTCATGGAACGCTGGGTAGCTCAATTCGGATGCCCATCTTCGGTGACTACAGACCGTGGACAGCAGTTTGAATCAACCCACTTCAAGAAGCTCTTAGAGCTACTGGGGTGCAAACGCATCCGAACAACCACGTACCATCCAGCAGCAAATGGACTTGTAGAACGTTTTCACCGCCAACTGAAAGCTTCGTTAATGGCTACCGAGAATACTAAGTGGACTGAGTCTCTTCCCCTAGTGCTACTTAGCATCCGTTCCACGCTCAAAGCAGACTTACAGTGCACCTCTGCAGAGTTGGTGTTTGGTACCACCCTTCGTCTACCGGGTGAAATTATCTCACCTGAAAGTGGTGAACCAAGTGCTACGGATGTACACTGTTATGCTCAGAACCTCAAGCGCCTTATGCAACGCCTGCAACCAACTCCCACACGCACACAAAACAAGAGAGTGCAAGTAGATGCTAGACTCGATGACTGTACCCACGTTTTTGTGCGTTGCGACGCCGTTCGTAGACCGTTACAACCTCCTTATGATGGACCATTCAAGGTCGTTAGTAAGAAGGGAAAAAAATTTTTGTTATTGATCGACTTGGCCGTCAAGACACCGTAAGTGTCGACAGACTTAAAGCGGCCTACATTGAAGAATCTGTACCTCTCACGCCTACACAACCAGCAACTACGCCCGCACCCACACCCCAGCCAAGTTCGATTGTCGAAAATCCTTCTAAACCTAGCAGTTCCCCGGATGAGACAAGTAAAGCACCGGTTACACGCTCTGGTCGGCGTGTACACTGGCCTAAACGATACTGTGAATTTGTTAACTAAACGCTTTTAATTACAAGAGTAACTCATACCTTCATGTCTTTTCTCACGTTACATTCATTTTTCATGATATTTACTCTTTTGGGTTTCGTTGTGGGCAGTAGCCACTTTTTTTCATTTACTAATCCTGCTAGATTTCTTTCTCGTTACAGTGTTCTAACATTTTATTTTTGGCGTTGCACTCGAACCACTAGTTAGACCAGTCCATTCCATTGTCGTATGGTGACTCCCAACACTCGTGGAATTACAAACCAAACGAACAGAAATATGGACCAGATAAAAAAAATAATAAAATTTTAAAAAAAATCGCACCAAGGCACCAGCGTTATTCCTTCTTATATTCCGTCTTACTCCATTGATCATGTACATAGTACTCATAAATTGCATTAATTTTTTTTTAAATTTTCAGCTTTTATTGATTTCAATGCAATATCACAATGTGAACACAGAAACACTTTAGAAAAAGTTATACATGAATAAAAGTTTTGTATTAGAAAAAAGTTTCAGGTTCGACTAACGCTTCTTTTGAGGTGATTCTTTTGTTTTTGAAGAACTATGACTATCAGTTGAAGTTTCAGGAGGGGTTAGAGCACTGCATAATCGTTTTATAGATTTAATCCGTCCACGAAAAGTACGGCATAATTCATCAACTGATTGAAAGCCATATACTTTCTCTATAGTTTGGTTAATATTATTTTTCATTTTTCGTATATTTTCAACAAATGATTTGATCTCAGCAGTTTCTTCTTTAATTCTTGTTAAACTTCTTTTAAAAATTATAATCCTATTTAAATGTCTTTTAATATGTTCTTCAGCAATTTCGTCAGCTTTTTGAGAATAGATCAACTGAGGCTCATCATCTTTAAGTACTACTAAGGGACTTAGATGTAACACATTGCCAACTAAAAATGTATCAAATGTATCAAACATCTCTGATAGACGATATTCAAGTTTTTCTTTTAGATGATAATTGAGTGATTGAATTTTCCCTCCTGTAAATCTTGGTGCAAATTTTTCCATAATTTCCTCGCAAAATGTATCTACCAATTGTTCTATGCAAGTGAGGATTGCATTGTATAAATCATCTGAAAGTTGAAGAGGTTCAAAACCTAGAAGCCTAGCTGAATATTCTTGTGCTACCTCCACTGAGATGCCTGATGATTGTGTTTTCCCCTTCTTCTGTTCCATGTATATGATATATAGTATATAGTGTGGGAGACTTGTCTCGTATTAGCAGCAATGGATAGCGGTACAACAGAGGATGGTGGCACAATACGAATAAGTGACCTTCAAGCGCTGTAATCCGTTTGTGCCACCATCCTCTGTTGTACCGCTATCCATTGCTGCTAATACGAGACAAGTCTCCCACACTATATACTATATATCATATACATGGAACAGAAGAAGGGGAAAACACAATCATCAGGCATCTCAGTGGAGGTAGCACAAGAATATTCAGCTAGGCTTCTAGGTTTTGAACCTCTTCAACTTTCAGATGATTTATACAATGCAATCCTCACTTGCATAGAACAATTGGTAGATACATTTTGCGAGGAAATTATGGAAAAATTTGCACCAAGATTTACAGGAGGGAAAATTCAATCACTCAATTATCATCTAAAAGAAAAACTTGAATATCGTCTATCAGAGATGTTTGATACATTTGATACATTTTTAGTTGGCAATGTGTTACATCTAAGTCCCTTAGTAGTACTTAAAGATGATGAGCCTCAGTTGATCTATTCTCAAAAAGCTGACGAAATTGCTGAAGAACATATTAAAAGACATTTAAATAGGATTATAATTTTTAAAAGAAGTTTAACAAGAATTAAAGAAGAAACTGCTGAGATCAAATCATTTGTTGAAAATATACGAAAAATGAAAAATAATATTAACCAAACTATAGAGAAAGTATATGGCTTTCAATCAGTTGATGAATTATGCCGTACTTTTCGTGGACGGATTAAATCTATAAAACGATTATGCAGTGCTCTAACCCCTCCTGAAACTTCAACTGATAGTCATAGTTCTTCAAAAACAAAAGAATCACCTCAAAAGAAGCGTTAGTCGAACCTGAAACTTTTTTCTAATACAAAA